GAGACACAGGAAGAGGGAGAAGCAGCTCCCTGTGGGGAGCCCGATGTGGGACTTGATCCCAGATCCTGGGATCATGCCCTGAGCCAAAGGCAGACGCTCAACCACTGAGCCCCCCAGGCGTCCCGACACAGCCTCATTTCTGACCCTGCCTCTGCCTCAGTAGCACTGTGATTCCTGGGCCTCTGAGCCCTCGGCACAGCTGCCTTCATCTGCTCTGAGACCTGAGTGAGCGATAGGTGTGACACAGTCCAGCGTGGATTTCTGCCGACACCCCCGGAGCAAAAAATTCTGGCGCTGTCTACCTGTGGGTAGCCTCAGATCCCATAGGTGAAGGCCTAGTCCTACAAAACTGCCCCCTCCCACCTACCCCCACTCCACACTTCAGATGCCAGTCATAAGTCCAGTGCCTGTGCTTTCGCAGTGTAGATAGGAAGTCCCCCACGACCCCCTCTCGAGTTGAGTTAATTTTCTAGAACAGATCATAGTACTCAGAAACATTTTACTCACTCGATTGCCAGTCTGTTATAAAAAGAGGTAACTCAGGAGCATCCTGACGGAAGAGATCACTCGAGCAAGGTGTAGGGCACAGTGGGCACGACAGAGCTTCCACGCCTTCCCTGCGTGTCCCACTCTCCAGATCCCTGTTCGGAAGCTCTCTGAATCCTCCGTTTTAAGTTTTTACGGAGTCTTTGTCACAAGGGCATGATGGATTAAATTATTGGGCATTAGTGATTGATCCAGCCTCCAGGCCCCGGCTCCCTCCCCCTCTCCAGAGGTCAGACTCAGGTTTTACCCTTGGTCACTGGTTAGTTCCCCTGGCAACCAGCCCCCATCCTCAGGTGCTTTCTGAACGTCCCCTTGTTAACAGAAACTCAGGTGTGGTTAGAAGGGATTTGTTGCCAATGTCAGGACACCTTGATTGCTCTTGTGGCGTACAAAATTCCAAGGGTTTTAAGATCTCTGTGCCAGAAACTAAGACCATATATATATATATATTTCTTATTATAAATCATATCACACCAGTAAGCTCCAAAAGTGTCCTTTCCCTTCTTTCTCTTTTCATCCTTTGGATATGATTTTCTCTTCAGATTTCCTTCCAGCTCTAATTTAAACATGAACTAGACACTCTGTAAGCTAAGAAAATCTACAGGTTATTAGGAAGCGAGCTACGAGTTCCACCCCTCCGACTTGATGGTGAAGACGCAGGGGTCGTTCTGGCAGGTTTTAGACTCTTTCCAACCCCTGAGCTTCTCTTGTTGAACCGTTGTGGTTCAAGTGCTTCTGTATAGATCTGAGACAGCTCAGTTCTACAACCAGCCCTGTGCATGTCATAGTCCATTGACGTACCGTCGGAACAGATGGGCTTTGCCAAATCGTCTCCCATCTTGATCTATGGCAGGGGTTTTGCTAGATGGACTTGGATGAGAAATTCAGATCAGAAACCACCTTTCTAACACCTGTTAGAGGGTTTGAGTTAAACAGCGTGCCCTTTGAACTTAGACGTGCACTCATCTATCTCCAGTGACTGGTTTAATGGTCCCTTAAGAGGGCTGGAGCCATTGGCCTTGGCCTTTGCCGACAGGCAGCGTGGGTATATTTAGCCGGGATCCAGGTGAACATCTGAGGCAGGTCCCGCTGCTGCTAAATGTAGGCCTCCAGGCCCAGTCAGTGTAGGATATGATTTACCAAAGGCCACGTTGGGCCAGAGTGCTCGGGTATTCATCATGAGGTGGTCTTGTGGGATAAAATATGAGTAATCAGAGTCTGGTCAGCTCCTGCAGCTAAGAAGAAAGTCGGGTCATTTTAAACTGGTTGGATACAAGATAGGTTTTATCATCTCTTGTTTTAGGATTATGGCTGGATTTCTTATCGCCTCTGATGCAGGCACGCAAACCTGATCTGAACCCTGTAGGGCCAGGGAGCTTTTAAAATGAAACTGTTTCCGATGACGTTCCCAGCTTTCTGAGCCCCAGACTTTTCACAAGCCTCCATCCTGGCACATCCTGCTTTGAGCTGCGCCCTGTGGCTGGGCACGAAGGATGGAGGCCAGGGAGGGATGGAGGCCCTGGGCAGGGAGCCCCTTAAGCAGCGTGGCCAGAGGGGAGAGCAGTCTGCTGCCCGGGAGGAGCACTGGCCGTGAACTGTCAACGCCAGCCATAAACCCTGAAATTGCTTGAGATTTTAGAAAACCTAGACAATGATGTTCAGAAGGTGTCATGGACATGTCAAGATCCCCAAGATCAGTAGGATATATTCCTGGGTAAGAGGAGGATGTGGGAAAACTAAAGCACTAAATATTTAATGGGCTCTCAGGGAGCCTTTAAAAAACCACTAATGCTCTGAGATTCTGTTTAATGGATCTTGGGTGGGACCTGGGTAATCGTGACTGCAATGCACAGCCAGGGTTGAAAACCACCGGCAAGGGAACAACACAGGTCACACTTGGATCGAGACCGTAGTCAGACAGCGGAGGGAGGGGAACAGTGGGCTTGACGTGTTCTACTCCAGATATAAGGGGACCCGAAGCAAAGAAATGGGACCAGCCCCTTTAAGCTCTGAGCATCTGGGGCTGATGAGATTAGAAGGCTGGCTGCCCCGAGAACTTTCTTTGCATGGCGATAGTAAATTCATTTCAAAGCGAGGGCAGGGAGTTTAGTCATAGCCATTAGCCTGATACTTTGGCAGGATAGTAAATACACTTTTATCGTGTCCGTATCTGTCCTCCTCTCAGGGGCTAAGGTCCGAGGTTTTCTGCTTGGCTGAGGGCAGTGGTGGTAGCCTATTCCGTGGGGCAAGTTGATCTTCAGAACCGGCCTGGTAGGCAAACAACCGAATGCGTAATGGAAGGGACAGCCTGGCCCAGCCCCTGGAAACAGTATTCTCATTAAAAGTAAAAGATTAAAAAAAAAGAAAAAAAAAGTAAAAGATTATGCAGAGGGGATCCCTGGGTGGCGCAGCGGTTTAGCGCCTGCCTTTGGCCCAGGGCGTGATCCTGGAGACCCGGGATCGAACCCCACGTCGGGCTCCCGGTGCTTGGAGCCTGCTTCTCCCTCTGCCTGTGTCTCTGCCTCTCTCTCTCTCTCTCTCTCTCTCTCTCTCTGTGTGACTATCATAAATAAATAAAAAATTAAAAAAAAAGATTATGCAGAAAAGTAAAAAAGAAAAAAATAAATGGCACTCACAGCCCCCACATCTGAAACGAACATCCATAAATCCTTCCGGACGTAATCTTGATAGAAAAATAATAATTTTATATAAACAGGATCTTGGGTTGTTTTTTGTTTTTTGTTTTTTCTTTTCATCAAGCGTTGAGCTGCGGGTCTCTTGCCACATCGGTAAATAGGCCCACATCAGTTTTAAAGGCTGAATAGTATTTCATCATACGGATGAGCCATTTTTTAAAAATCCTTCTCTGTTGTTGATGGACATTTAGGTCATTTCCAATTCATAGCTATTACCGGTGAGATAAAGCATCCTGCGCTTGTGCCTTTGAGATACACATCCTGCTGGGCTGATCTTCCTTTATTGCGTGATTGCTGAGCCGGAGGGTGGAGATGACAAAAGCCCACGTTCTCCCGTCGCGCTGCTCACAGCTTATTGTGTTATAAGTCACCTGTTATTTGCTTTTGTGTTTCCTTATTCCCCTCCTCCCACACAGTCACAATGGGCTCTTTGGTGAGGGGTGAGAGTACACCACACTAATTTAGTCCCACCCTTTCTCATTATTAGAGTGTGCAGAGTTGAGATTGCTTCTCGAAGTGTGTCGGCAGTCAGCAGAGGGGTCTCTGATTCCGAGCAGCTAGCGAGGAACCCATTCTGGCTGCGTCGTTCCCAACGTTACCCCAACGGGGACATTTCAGTGTGTACCCAGTTGGCGTAAAGTGGTTGGAGAAGTTCCCTTTGCTCCCTTTATTTTTTTTAATTTTTTTTTTAAGAGTAATTTACTCTTTATTTTTTTAAATTTTTTTTTATTTTTATTTTATGATAGTCACACAGAGAGAGAGAGAGGCAGAGACACAGGCAGAGGGAGAAGCAGGCTCCATGCACCGGGAGCCCGATGTGGGATTCGATCCTGGGTCTCCAGGATCGCGCCCTGGGCCAAAGGCAGGCGCCAAACCGCTGCGCCACCCAGGGATCCCTCTTTGCTCCCTTTAAAAAAAAAATGATATGGGTCATTTTATTTCTCACGGATCTAATACGGGCCTGCTGGGGGCCATGCCCTGTGCCTGGCATAGGACACGAGAATGATTAGAGCGCACCATCCCTGCCCTCCAGGGCTTGGGATCGCTGGCAGGGGCTCACAGTGCAACGGCCCTAAATGCCGTTTGCCATGGAAGTTGAGCCGCTGACGCTCATCAGGACGGTTGTGTCAACCACTTGGACATTACAGAGGGACCTGCATCTGAGGGAGATGGTTTTGTGATTTCCCGGGGGTGGATGGGACCCAAGTATTTTTTCTGATGAAAACGACAGGGAGTTGAAATGTCCTCGTTGATCAGAGCAAAATTCTCTCCAGCAAATCCCCTGCCTGTCTTCCCATCTTCCTTGAGAAAAGAATAAAGAGGTTTGGGTTTTATCATTTTCACTTTTACAATGACAGAGCTTCAAGACCCATGCGAGGTCAGAGATCCCTGCAGCGTGGCCTGTAGTCTTTACTAGGCTGATGGTGACTTTGGGATAGATCGTTGAAGAAGATTGAGGGTAACTAGAGGCTCTTCTCACAGATCAATTAGTTAAAAGGTTTTGAGTTCTTTTAGGTACCTCTTTGAAACGTTTACTCTCCCAAGAAAAAATGTATTTATTGTACATAAGCGTAGATTTGAAAAAAAAAAAAACACCATCCCAAGCAGTTTGCTGATGCTGGTCTGAAAGCCTCGATCTGGTCCGATCCCTGGTTTTATGGGTGGAATGACTAAGGTTTACGGAGGAGGGTAAATGTGGGTTATATCGACTAGCTGATGAACTATACCTAAAGAAACTTTTTCTTTCTTTTCTTTCAGCACTGGCTGGATCATTCCAAACCCATAAAAAAGCAGATGAAAAGTAAGTAAGCAGAATTTAGCTTACTCACTTATTTCTTTTATCAGAGAATTAAAAAAACTCCTTTGCCAGGGTTTTGAGGTATTATGTTATCCTCAGGACTTGAGAGGGCTTTAAAATAGATTCAGTTTTAAGTGGATGATTTTTCATTTCTTCAGGCTGGCCAAATGTGAGAGTTTAAAATATGGATAAGAGTTTTTGGGTGGGTATTAAAAAACAGACTACGCTCTCATTTGAAATCAGGCACCCTTGCCAGTGAGAACTGATTAATATGCTATTCAGAAGCGTGATTTTACACCTATTACATTCATTTGCTAATGAGTTAGAAAAGTAGACTCAGAGAACGGGAAAGCAGGAGTTCTGACAATCTGGTCCAGCTCTCGGATTTTACAGGTGTGGTAAGCACATTTCTTCAAGGTTGTGCATGAGTGGGTAATTTCAAAACATATATAACACTTTACGGTGTCCTTACTGTATTTTTAGATTGCAGAACACTTGCTGTTTATGCGTCACTTTACTTTAGCCCGCTTCGTATTTTGTAAAAAGTTAGTATCTGTTTGGAATATCTTGGCAATTGGGTGAAAGTAAAATGTCAGCTCTTAGTAATTCATCTAGACGGTTAGAGTTTTTATTCCAGAATGAGTTACTCGCTACTGCATCTTCGTCAACATGAAAGCACATTTTAGTTTTCCAAACTCAAGGATTGAAAAGGACTCACTAGCTTTAGAAGCCCCATCGTGCCCTCCCCAGTGTAACAGTGAATATGTGACTAGATTTAACACGTTTTTTTTTTTTTTCCTTTTGTCCATTCTGTGATCTTCAAAACTGGGGGAAAAAAAAAAAAAACAAACCTCTTCATCCTTCCATCTCCATATGTTTAGTCGGACCTGCTTATGCTTTGCACTTTCGAGTTAAATATTATTCTTCAGAACCGAACAACCTTCGCGAAGAGTTTACAAGGTAGGTCAAAATGTGGAACAAGATCCCCCACCCTGTGCCCCTGGTAGCACTTACCTTATAACTCATGGGTCCTCTGAGTTGTGGGGTGGCCTCCTCTTCCATGTGCCGACTTTATGTTCTGAGCAAGAGTTATTAGTACTTTGCCTGTGCTTATCTCTGTATTCTGTTGGAAATCTACCCTTTGCTCCATCTGACCTTTTTCTTAGTGAATCACAATTAAAAGATTTATTTTCTCGCCACATTTCTATCTCACTGGGCTGTGGGTCAGTTGGTTAGTCGTTCTATGGCACTTCATTTTTGTCGAGGTACAAGAAGGGAAGGCAGGTATTGGAAGAGCGTTTCTTAGTCCCAAATTGCCATCTTATTATTTTTTTTAAGGGGCTGCACAGTGTTCCCTTGATTGCTACCCTATCAAAGTTGTTGGAGTCCCTTCATGTTGTCTTGCAGCCCCACTGGATTTCTTTTGAAGTGTGCCCGCCTATGCCTGTCTCTTAGACTTCAGAAACAGTGTTGAAGCAAAAGAGACTTTAAAAACATTTTAAGTATGGAATTTCCCTCCGGCTGCCCTTCTGTCAGTGAGCTTCTCTACCCAGCCTTCCGCTGCTTTTTGCTTCCCTAGAACCTCCTTTGTCATTTACCTGATAGACAGTAGTGGTGACATGTCAGCCCATGGTGGTGGCCACTAGCCTGGAGATGAGCACCTAAGGAACACTTTAAAGACTGCTCATCACCATTCTTTGCACTGAAGAGGTCCACTGACCTTGGGTAGTTAGGTTTTCCTGTAGAAATTGGAGGTTCTGGCCATATCAGCACTTGTGTTCTCTCTGATGTGAGTACTCAGCTCAGTGGTGGCTAAGCAGCTGTCAGAAGCAGGAACTTTCTGGAATGTACTAGAACCTTCAGCTCCTCCATCCTTTGATTTCTGGGTCACCCACATTCTCCTATATCCATCCCAACAGAGAGTGACTGTCTGCATTGTTTACAAAGTTTAAACAAATTATTCTAGAGTTCCACCTCCGAGTCCCTTATGAAACATGCTGCTTCTAGCCATCATCAAAGCCAGTGATTCTTAACCAGGGTTGTGTGAATCAGAAACACCTAGGAAGCTTTTGAACAAATCAGATTCCTGGGGGCCACTCTTGCATGTAAGGCTGATTCCCTAGGTATGGAGCAGAGCGTGGGTAGCTTTGGCTGTTACAAAGCACTATAAGTGGTTCTGATGCCCACATCCTCCTGGTTTAAAAAAAAAAAAAAACAGTTAAGCCAAGACACTTAATCTTTTTTCTTTTTTTTTTACTTAAGTGAACACCACTTGTGCTATTTGCTGCTTTCCTCTCCCCATTTCTCATTACCCCACAACCCGCTGCAGCCCAGTTCTGGGATTTTTTTTGTGGGGGGGGGTGTGCGTGTGCGTGCGCATGCATGCGTACACGTGTTTGTTTTTAAAAGACAGAGTCTGCAGTTTACTTGCATCAGGAAAAAAGCCTCAAGCAGTTGCTAACTACAGTTAGCTGTAAACGTTCTGATACAAGCAGCTGCACCCTTCCCGGAATCTGCTGGTGGGCCTGGCTGAGGGCCAAGCCCAGTGGCCTCGCCCTGTCCGTTTGACTGGACGCACCGCATGCCCGTGCGTGAGCTCCCTTCTCAAGCACCAGCCGTGCTGCAGAGGCCGTCATTGGACTGTGCAGTGTCTCATGTTCCATCTTCCAAGTATCTTGCAAATTCTATACCTGCGCTCACCTGCCTAAGCTAGGTTCTGGGATGCCTTCCTGGAGACTCAGGAGGAGATGCTTCCACCAAAGTTCTCATTTGATTTGGACTCCTTTTTACAATGCAGAATTCTGGGCTATGTGCGGGGCGGGATCTGTGATGGGAAGTTGGGGATTGGGAGCGGCTGGGAAAGAGTACCCTCTGTTGACTTTTGTGTATGTTTGTCAGGTACCTGTTTGTTTTACAACTCAGGCATGACATTCTTTCAGGAAAGTAAGTATGTTTTTGTTCTAACTCTTAACCCAGGATAGATCATAGTATATTTCTATATCACTGTTGTTGTTGTTGTTGTTTTAACTCTTCTACCCTTGTTCCCTTTTCAAAATTCAAAAAAAGTACACCAGGCATTGTAAAGTGAGTCTAATACTTGTATCACTGTCATCATCATCTTATTTTTAAATGATTACTATATGGCTTGAAGCATTTCCAAGAGCATTAATATCTTAAGTGATGTGTATTTGGGAATAATTCTCTCCTTAATCACATCACTGCCCCATTCATAATGGCTTTTGTCGTATTTGCGAGCAAGATACGTTATTAGTATGTATACACTTACAAGCATTTGGGTAGTCAGAAGTCTCATTCATCACCATCTGCATTTAAGCAACGAAAGAGGTTATGTTCTGATTCTGATAGGAGGTTTAGACATCTCATCTCATTTCCTTTCCCCCTCTTAAAAAATGATTTTTCAATACTAGGCCTCTGGCGACAATGATTGCTGAGCACAAGAAGCATTGGCACTGATGTGGTTGGTCTCGCCTGCAGTATTTATTTTAAAGATGTGAAATTTCAGCGGTCCTAGCTTTTACAGTTGTGTCACTTATCCACATACACATTGACCATTTTCTATTCCATGGAAAACGAAGACTATACTGAATCTAAAAAGCGATCCCTGATGTTGACAAGAGCACATCTTGATTTTGAATATAATCAGAAGGAAATCTGAAAAGTGATTTCCGATTTTGCAGACCCTGCACAGAACAACGTGCTATTAAAAACCCTAGTGCAGCATATACCATAGAACAAGTAGATTGTACAGTGTATACATTTGCCTTATTCAGCTATGCAATACAAATCTTTGGTGTGTGTATTATGAGTGTGTGTGTATTTTTATCTCTCTCTCTCTCTCTCTCTGCATACTGTGCTCCTCATCCTGAAGGCCTCTTAACTCTAGTAACTGTCTTCAGTTTGGAAAAATATTAATGGCGACATCTTGCATTGGTACAGTACTTTGCAGTTTATGTGCTCTTCAGCCTCATTTACTGTACTTCAAAGCGGAATGGTGTTCTGGTCTCCTTCCCTCCGGATGGCCTTGAGCAAGACACCTGAACACTCAGTTCCTCGTCTCTAAATTGGGGGATGGATGGGGGAGCCCTGGCCACACCCGTCTTAGAGGTGTATGAACTCCGCGCATTGAGCACACTCAGCAGTGCATGTGAAAGGCTTTGGAAACTATGAAGTGCTATACCAATGTATGTCATTATTATTTTTCTAACTCAATTTGTAATTCTAAGTGTGAATGAGATCAGTGATTTGAGGTTTGTAATACACCTCTGTGGCTCTGCCTCCGTTATACTTATTAGAACGCTTGAGTGTATCCAGCTGTCCTGGCAGTGTTAGATATTGTGTCTGTCTGTTTATTTTTAACATTATGACCTGGTTTCAAGAAAGATTTGAGGCAGCTTGAAAAGGCGCATGTACTGTATCAAGTAAGTTCCAAAAATCACAAGGCAAAGGGAAGGCTTTTCAGTCTATTTCCCAAACCTCCCCATTCTTGCCGAATTCAGTGAAATTGCCCACAGGGTGGATAGAAACTATACCTGGTTGGGTTGTTTTGCTAGATGGTGAGCCTGACTTTGGGAAATAGGTAGTGGAAGTCAGCTTGTTTGCATTCTTTAATGTGGACGGCAAAAATAGAAGCCACTGGGAAAAATCATTATCTAAATATCACTACCTTTCGAAAAATGACTTTAATGATATTTTGTATGGTTTATGAGTATTAAAGTTCATATACAGAATTAATTTCCTCTCTTTTTTTCAAGATTGAAATGCCCCTATGAAACGGCTGTGGAATTAGCTGCTCTCTGTCTACAAGGTACATTATTCTTTAGTGGTAATTAGCATTTTCATGTTATGCTCTTGTTTCAACAATTGATTATCCTGTGTACCAGGCTCAGTTCTCCTCTTTGGGGGTATAAATGAATGCAGTACGGCCTCCATCTCTCAAGTAGCTAATGGTCCCGTGAGGACATGGCAAAACCACATACAGGGTACAGTGTAGTTCCCCCCAGGAAGACCTGCAGGAGGCTTGGAAGGCGAAGGCCCTTCGGGGGGATGAAAATGAACAAAGGAATCAAGACACAAAGTAGAAAAGTATAGAGAGGTACCGGCAATGGAGTGGTGTTGGAGGGTGGAAGTTTGGAAACCTGGATAAGTAGACAACCTTGAACCTTGTTTAAAGAGCGTGACCTTCATGCTGGTCAGCAGTAGGCCTTTGAGGGCTCTTAAGAGGAAGGCAGGCCTGGAGAGGTGTGCATTTGGAAAGATCACACTGGCTGTGATGGGGAGAAGGGACTGGAGCAAGACCAGGGTGAGGGGTGCGGTGAGAAGGTTTTGCTGTAATAAAAGGAAATTGACTGGGGCAGAGGGGTACACACCTACACACACACATCCCCAAAAAACCAACATTGGTGGTACAAGAGAAGGACCTGGTCATTAGATCAGTATTGAGAAGGGGAGTCAGGGAAGGTCATAGATGGATTCCAGTGGTGGGTGATGGGAACAGTGAATGGTTAGGAGAGTTGGCTCCAATGGAGGAGATACCTGTGTAGGGCCTCTTGGTTGACAGATGCCAGTGGGACCTTCAGTAGCTTCTTGAGTTTGCACATCTGGCTTCTTGAGTTTGCAAACCAGAGAGGTCAAGCCAGAGCATTAACAGGGAGTCCTCTGCTTGCAGGTGGGAGTTAGATGGTGATTTGCCTGCATGAGCGTCAACTTGACTTGACTTTTCCATATTATGCACTGGTGGATTTTAGTTTAAAATGCACAAGAAACACTTGTTAGAGTCTCCAGCATTAATTAAGAGGATACTAACATGTAACTGCACATAAGGAATTTTATCAGCACATCACAGAGACATATGTTGTAGATTTGTTTACCAGCATGTTCATCGGCTTCTATGGGATAATGAATTATGATGTATTCATTCATAATTACTAATTAATTTTGAACACCATATTAAGATTTGGCTTCCAGTTTTTGTATTTGCCAATTTTTAAAAGTGGATCTAAGTCTTCAAATCATAAAATCAGTACACATTTATTATAGAATATCAGGACAGCCGCACAGTAGACAAGTAGAAGGAAGGAAGGAACCCACCATCCTGCCATCCATAGACAATCAAGAGTTTCTGTGAGTTGGGTACAGTTTTTAAAATGTAATTCTGATCAGTTATATACAATTTTTTTATGATTTTCTACTTGGTATTTTTAGTACATGTATTTTGTCATAAAGATGATTTTTAATGACTGGAGGATGTTCCCCTTACCTGACATTTCTATTCCTCAGTCACTTTTTAATTCTTGTTCTCTAATGGGGGCTCGCTCGCATGTAGTAGGTGCTCAGTTAAGTATAGAATGAATCAAATGAAGTTGGAGAGGACCCTCAAAGACTTTGGTTGGGGACGCCTGAGTGGCTCAGAGCATCTGCCTTTGGCTCAGGTCATGATCCCGGGTTCCTGGGATCGAGTCCCACATTGGGCTCCCCACAGGGAGCCTGTGTCTCCCTCTGCCTGTGTCTCTGCCTCTCTCTGTGTGTGTCTCTCATGAATAAATAAATATATAAAATCTTTTAAAAAAACAAAGACTTTAGTTGAAGGAGGAACCTGCCCATAAGGTCTGAGAGCTACCTCTACCATCTATAAATGTCTGTGCCAGATACAATGCCAAGTGCTTCACATCCACATTTTCATGACACAACAGTCCTTATGGTAAGTGCTGTAAGGATCTATAATGGCTTAGAGAACATGGAAATCTGCTCTCCATTTTGGCCAGGGACAGATTTCCCCAGCTGGCCAAGTGGCATCCACTCTGGAGTTTCTGAGTCTCCAGGAGGTATACCATTAGAGTTGGTAGAGATGTCAGGGTGTAGTTAACAGGATGAAGGCAATCAGCCCACAGGTCCTGAACCATTAGAGCTGGAGGCGCATGTATTACCATCTCCCCTCATCCCCCTCCGCGCTCCCTCACTTCCTGCCGTGTGCTGAAGGCATCACTACACTCCCAAAGCCTGGCTCTGGTAGGACCATTTGCTGTGCCCCAGAGCCGAGGCAGACGTGAATGAGATCAGCTGTCTGTGAGCCTTTCTCCTGGAAGTGACCCACTTGAGTTGAAACTACAACAGAGTGTAATTTAAGATGCAGTCATTGTGTCAAGTACAAATGAAAAGGCTGAAGGCTTAGACACTCAAGTTGGGAAGTTCTTGTTACGTTGTCCCTCCATGGCCTCTTTCCCCCACATCCCATTGGGAAGCGCCACAGCCTTTCCAGTGCAACCACAGCGAAGCCAGCTTCATCAGACCATCAAGATCGCTGGAGTGGGTCTGGGTTCGAATAAAATGGAGGCTGTGTCTCCTCCCTTGATTGGGCCTTGAAGACATGTCTTGCTGTGGTTGTCCTTGAGTTAGTGGTACCCCTCCAGAGTTGTGGTGCAGTGGCCCTGAGTGAAGGCTGTGCTCTTTTATGGTAGATTTGAAAGTTAATCCAGGCAGAAAGAAGGGAGGGGGAGAATGGGACAGTCGTTTGCTGGGTGCCCATGATCTTCCATCCTTGCAGCAGTTCCCATTTTACTGACTGGGCATCAGAGATGGATGGAGAGCAGTTAGGTGACTTGCCCAGATCCTACAGATAGCGTATGGTAGAGGGGGATTCCAGCACTCCTGCGTCCGAGCCGTTTCCACCACCCTCGGCACCCTCCACAGCGAGGACCCTGGCTGCAGACAGAGTTCACAGATGGTGGAGGGTCGTTTTGCAGGCAGATTTTTGGGAGGCAGGTGTGCTGTCTCAGAATCTATGTACCGGGCATCACTCAAGCCTGTTCTGGTCCAGTGATGGTGAGAAGGGACACTGGCTCCCTTGCCCGGTCTCAGGAAAACCTTATCATCGTCTAGTTTCTCCCCCTGTGCTCGATGATTCCAGTGGTGTCCCCGAGACACCACTAAACCCAGGGCTCTGTTGCCCCACTTTGGCCCATGGGTGCAGGAGAAGGGTAGTTCACAGGAGGGAGATCTCCTCCCAGACTGTCCCTCTAGCCCCACCAGCTCCCCAGTTTCAGGGTGAGTGCTTGGTTAGAGGGCAGTGGTGGCCCTAGCAGCCCAGCCCTTCCCTTGGCTGGGTGAATATTTCCAGAGCAGAATCTTCATTTGTGACTTTGCCGGAGGTACAAGTAGCTGCAACACACACCCCCGACCCCCACCCAGACCACCCTGGTGATTTTAGGGTGCCCTCTGCCTCAGATGCTTCAGAGTTGCAAATGAAGGGCTTCCATCAGGTGAGGAAGCATTTACCAGCATCCCCCACACACTCCATGGCAAGCAGCGTCTCTTACAGCCCCCCCATGGCCCCTCGAGCTCACTTCTGCAAGCGCACCTGAGTCCCTCCAGGAGGGTGAGCTCTGGCATTGGAAAGGCTGCTGGGTACTTAGTTGCCCGTTGCTGGAGGGGTTCAGACGGCTGCTGACTTATCAGTTGGTGGGATTTGTTGTGTTAAGCAGTGATTCTCAAGGTGTGTTCCCAGGTCAGCTGCATCAGCCTTACCTGGGAACTTGTTAGAAGTGCAAATTCTCAGGATGCCTGTGTGGTTGAGCAGCTGCCTTCCACTGGGTTGTGATCCCAGGGGTCCTGGGGTCAAGTTCTTCTGCATTAGGCTCTCCGCAGGGAGCCTGCTTCTCCCTCTGCCTATGTCTCTGCCTCTCTCTCTGTGTGTGCCTCATGAATAAATAAGTAAAATTAAAAAAAAAAAAAGGAAAGAAATTCTCAGGCCTTATTCCAGACCAGTGGAATCAGAATCTTGGGGGATGGGCTTCAACAGTGTGTGTTTTAGTGAGCCCTCGGGGTGACCATAATGCACACACCAGTTCAAAAGCCAGTACTGCAGATCCATGCTTTTCAAAGTAACCTGTGCACAGTCACCTGGGCATCTGGTGAAAGGGCAGGTTCTGCTTCAGTAGGTCTGATGATTGTGCGTTATGAGCAAAGTCCCAGGTGATGCTGATGCTGGACCACCCTTTGTGCAGCAGCGTGTTAGAGGAACCTCTGGAGGATTCCCTTTCATCCAGGGGTCTGCTCCCTGAGCTGCAGGGGTGGGGTCCGGGGTGAGGAGAGTGGATTTTCTCATTTGTGTCTTGGAAGCACGGGACCCCCTGTGTCCTCGGGCCCTTCATACTGTAGGGTAACTTGGCCAGAGCCACTAGGGTGCTGCGCACTTTGGGGTTTTTGCTAGGGCTGCTGGTGTGGCTGCTCTTCTTTGCGCTCCTGGCTTCCTCCTGGTTCTGGCCGACTTGCTGCAGTTGCTCCTGCAGCCCTGTCACCCCCTCCCTCCTCCCTGCCCCGCCACCCTCCTCCCCTCCTCCCTCCCTCTCTCTCCCTCCTGAATATTTTCCCCCAAACTCTACCGGTACTGAATCCGGGATTGGGCCTCTGGAGCAGGGCAGGCTGGGGAGCAGGCTGGGGGGTCCTGCTGGGGGGGGGTTGGGGGACCCTCAGTGAGAGCTGGGTTAAATGACTGTTTCTGAGCAGGCCCTCATTCTCTGCAGTTGCCTTTTATTGCAGATCTGGGCTCTACCACTTTACGGGGGAAATACAACCTGGGCCTCCTCGGGTGGGAGAAACAGTCGAGAGCAAGACTGTCACCACTGAGAGAGCGGTGTTTTGCTGAGTGGGGCGGGCGTGAGGAGGATTCTTGGGGATTCTGAATGTGCTGCGGGCACCAGGTGGGAAGGGCGCTCCCCCCGCGGGGGCACCTGCGCTTTATGATCGTGCCAGCTGCCTCTGGACCTGGTTGCAGCAGTCACCGAAGGAAGGTATTCAACGTCTCCCCGTTTTTCTCCCTTTTATGACCCTCGCAGCGGAGCTGGGGGAGTGCGAGCTTCCAGAACACACGCCAGAGCTTGTGTCTGAGTTTCGGTTCATTCCAAATCAGACAGAAGCGATGGAATTTGATATCTTCCAGAGATGGAAAGAGTGCAGGTACCTCGATGCTACCCTCTAGCATTCTGATAATGTTTATTTTGTGCTGTGTAAGCGTGTGTCGGACTCTGATGTGCCAGGAGAATCGCTCCGGGTGAAGCCTGTGAGGCTGCAGCTCCAGCTCTGCACTTCTGGCCTGTTGTTCCAAAGGCCCACGCGACTCCCCGTCTCTCCTGAGATACTGAGATACACAGTCAGGCCCGGACCAGGCCCCCATCGCCCCCTGAAATCCAGAGCCCGGTCCTGATGGGCCCGTTACTGCGGGGCCACCACTCTCCTGGCCTCCCGGAGAGAGCAAGGAGGCTCTGCCTTGGCACATTCCTACACCCCCGGCTCTGTGTCCACGGCCCGAATCTTCTAGAATGAACCCTTTAGAGAGAGGCCCCGTTGTCCCGAACAGGTGCACTCGTATTGGAGACCACGAGCACGGCATTACCTTTCAGGACGTGTGGTCACCGCAGCTAAATCCAGCCTTGTCGTTTATGTCTGGCCTCCTCCACCCACCTGCCTGGCCCCCCGCCACCCAGGGTCCCCCTAGGGCGACCGTTCCATGCCTGGATTACCGGTGCTGCCCTTCCGCCCTCCCAGCCCACCTGCCCAAACCCTGCGCTCCGAGTCAGTCTCAGACTCAGAGGGCTTAGCCTCGTTTCCTCTCGTCCCTCAGCCCTCCTAATGGGTGCGATGACTTCTTTGAAACTGGAAAGTGACATTAGCCCATGCTCATACCATGTTGAAATATATGACCGTGACACTGCACCCCCCACCCCCACCCCACGCACATGCACCTACCGTCCTCTCCGCGGGCAGTACTGTTACAGCCCCGGGGCGGGCGGGGGGCGGCTTCCCGGCCCTTCCACTTAGCATGTCCATGCCCACGTCCACACACAAAAATTGTGGCCTTCCGTGTTCCCATCATAAGCAGGGCTGTCATCTCTCTAGTCCAGTAACAGTCTGTCCATGGAGGTCTTTTCCTGTTAGTACAAATGCGTGTCCCTCGTTCTCTTAATGGCTACAGAGGGTGTCCCCTTAGTGTGGCTGTGCCCTTCAGAAACCCGTGGGTGTACGAGCTGCAGTTTACATGTATTTCCATTGGTTTTTCAAAGGGGAAAGAGCCCTGCCCAGGCGGAACTGTCCTATCTGAATAAAGCGAAGTGGCTGGAAATGTATGGGGTAGACATGCACGTTGTCAGGGTAAGAACTGTGTGCGTTTGACGGGGGTCCTTGGGTTTCGCTGTGCCCGAGCCATGTGTAAAAAATGTGCAAACAAAGTAACGCGGTGAGGAAACTGTTTTGCATTCTGCTCTGTGACGACCTGTTAGAACCCTCTACCGATTGTCACTTCGTTTATTTGTAGGGAAGAGATGGCTGTGAATATTCTCTTGGACTGACCCCGACAGGCATATTAATCTTTGAAGGAGCTAACAAAATAGGCTTATTCTTTTGGTAATTTAGTTTTGTCTAATATTAAAAATGTCTTTTCCTATTTTGTGGTGGAATTCTATGTGATGGATGATTCTTGAGGGATATTTGCAACACCCCGATTTGCTTTAAAAAACACACCATGCTCTTCTTATTATATTTGCGGGTGTTTGGCAGTGGCAATGAAACCTCTGGATAATCACACTTGAATGAATGAATGATTTCTTTAGCAAATCTAAGCTTAAAAAGTAGAAAGGAAACTGCTGTTTGTGTAGATAGCATTCCTTGCAGATTGTACTTTTAAAATGTTTTCTCTCTGCCCAGGCCTAAAATTACCAAAATGGATTTTAAAAAGAGCAAATTGACACTGGTGGTAGTGGAGGACGATGATCAGGTAAGCCTTGCTCCTGGAATTTCCTCCTTGCTGCAAATGAGCCTTCCTCGAGGTTCCCGACACGCACTGAATCTAGAACCTTGTGCTTCACCTGTAAGGGGCGGGAGCAGGAGCACACGTTTGTATTCCGGCTGGACAGCGCCAGAACCTGCAAGCACCTCTGGAAATGTGCGGTTGAACATCACGCCTTCTTCCGACTGCGGACGCCGGGAAATAGCAAATCGAACAGATCAGACTTTATCCGCCTGGGGTCTCGCTTCAGATTCAGGTGGGCACTGGCACTGCTCTTTACAACGTGGATACCACATTTCAGAGGAGGGCAATAGGGATGTTTCTTGTGAATGGAGCGATGAGCGGATCTGTGTCCAGAGGCTTGGTTCGGACTTCCCATCCCTGCTGCTTTCTTAGGATCTGCCCTTTGGTTGAATCACCGAAGCTCTTTTAGCCTCGTGTCCTCATTGATAAAATGGGGCTAATAACAAAATTGTTAATAGCTGACATTTAGCTGAAACTATGCCATCTTAAGCAGTAGACATTAGTAGCCAGGTGTGGCCATTAAGGTGAATATTAAATAAAAAAATTTTTAAGTTTATTTGAGAGAGAGAGAGAGTGTATGTGTGTGTGTAAGAGAGAGAGAGATTTGGGGAGAGGCAGAGGGAGAAAGCCACGAAGTAGACTCCTTGCTGGCTCTGGAACCCATCGTGGGGCTCGATCTCACGACCTGAGCTGAAATCAAGAGACAGACGCTCAACTGACCCAGCCACTCCGGCTGCACCAAGATTAATTAATATTAAATAAATTTTAAAATTTAGTTCCTCCAGGGGCACCTGGGTGGTTCAGTCAGTTAAGCATCTGCTTTTGGCTCAGGTCATGATCACTGGATCCAGAGCCCGGCATTGGGCTCTCTGCTCAGCGGGGAGCCTGCTTCTCCCTCTCCCTCTGCCTGCCTGCATATACTCACTTGCTCTCTCTCTCTCTCTCAAAAAAGTAAATAAATAAAAATCTTTTAAAATGTCATTCCTCTGTCCCAATAAATGCTCAGTGCATGTGAGGTAGGTGGCCACCATAGTGGGCCAGAACATAGAACACAAATTGTGCTAGAGTTTTTCATGAACCAGTGTGTAATCCTTGCAGCAGTCTTGATGCAATTGGCCCTCTGGTTATCCCCATTTTACAGATAAGGAATCTAGGGCTGAAGAATTGCATAATCTTCCCAGAGTCATGGCCAGCAAGTGGTAGAGCTGAGATTCAACCCCAGATAGTCTGGGTCTCGTATTTTAATCACTACTCTATTGCCTTTCGTGCACCAACGTCAAGAAATGTGGTTGATAGTTGAGAAGGAGAGCAGATGTCCATGTGTGTGCAAGTGACCCAGGGTAGGCTCAATAAATACTTCAATCCAAAAAGACCCTGAAAACATGGAGAATTTAATTTTTCACATACCTTTACTTATGGCTTAGAAGACTGTGTCTTTCAAAATACATAATAACTCCCTGGGGGGGGGTATTAAAAAAATGAAGACTTATGCCCTCATCCAAGACCCTTGTAATCAGAATCTATGGGTGTACACATGTGGGTTCATGAGTAAGGCCTGGGGACGTGCATTTTAAATGCCCTCCCAGGGTTGATTTTTGAGGCTTGTTTTTGCATCTGAGAATTGCTATTATAAGCTCTAAAACCTCACCTGATTTCATAACCTCTCTCCACACATGGCATGTCCTTGAACTCTATTGAATATGTCACAGGGTGTGCATTTATCATTTCAGATTTATCTACTATGCAAGGAAATGGCTATTGGGATGGTTGCCAAGGTAGGCTTTTCCATCCTGGGAGGAATCTCCCCCAGGATTTGGCCCAGACCAGGCTCCCTTCCACTCCTTGAGGAGAAGTAGAAGGAAGGGGACGTTGAAGACAAGGACGCCCCTTGGAGGCACTTAGAGCAGGTGGCAAGTGGCCCCTTCTGTGTGTTAAATCATCCGCCAAGAGTGGCTGGAATAAAGCAGCGATCCGATAAAAACAGCGCACCTCCTGAAAGCTGCGGCGGGGCCACCCAATGGTTGAAACCCAGCAAGTCTTGGTGAAAGAAGTAATGTTTCCATTGACATAGTAAGGAAGGCCAAGGCTTAGTCAAGTGGTCATTGATAATAGCATTTTAAAAGAGTTAAATGTCTACGTAATGTGTGTTACGAAAGGTTATTTTATTTGTGAATCATTGTTCTCTTGTCAGATGTTCCGAGTACTTGGACTTGCTCGGTTTGTGCAGCCAAGTGGCTGGGACTTAAATCGCAGGCTTTGTCTTTTGGTGGAAATATCTGCCCCTAGAATACATCTTGGATTTGGCAAAGGTGCATTCATTTCCAAATGCAGGGCTAAATTTAGTGTTTCTCTTCACCAGAGGAGTTCACGATAAGTTGACATTTACATTGGAGCTCTTGAAAACCGAAGCGCACTTCCAAGTGTGTATAATGCACTGGCACTCTGGATGTTGGTAACATGCAATAAAATATTTACTTTCCAGTGGGCGGACAGAGTATCAGGCCACGCACGGCGCCAGGTTACGAAGAACCAGCACCTTTGAGCGGAAGCCTAGTAAACGCTATCCATCCCGGAGACACTCGACATTCAAAGGTGGTGTGGTGTTCGTACTCCCTGGGATTTTACAGTAAGGTTTAGTTGGTTAATTAAGCCCCAGGGAGCTTGGTAAAGCAGTTCTTAAAGGAACCTTCTGCTGTTCTGGTCTCATTCCAAAACTTTTGACGAAACCCCAATGGGAGAGATTCTTTGGAGGGGAGTCAGGCCACTTTTGCTGTCCGCTGTCTTTGGTTTTTCCCGTTGGATCTGTTCTTTTTCTTTTCCCTCTTTTTCATATTTCTTTTCTTGTGCCTCTTTGCTTCTGTTGGGACCTGAGACCTTAGGAATATTGTAGGTTACCATGTTTCTTGCCCATGGAAGATGATGCTGTGTCTTAGAGGGGAAAACAGTCTCTTCTCTCCTCCATTGTACCATTTCAAATGGGGACATTACTCTCATGCTAACCAGAATTCTGTCCACGTAAGAACAGCAGATCTAGAACCTTTTAATTCTGGATTCAGGTCCTGTGGTCCATCCAAACACACCCTGCCCTTGAATTTAGTCTGCCCCTCCCTGCCTCTCCATATCACTTACTCATACTGACCATTCCATAGGTTTTCTTGTATAACTCAGGACCTGAGTTATACCTTTGTGGGCCTTTATGGCACCTGCACCTCTACTTTTCCCCCTTCTAGAATCTTTAACCTTGTGTTCCCCCACTGTTTCCTGCCTTTTTGAATGAATGGTGCAATAGCATGGCAGCCAGAAGCTCTCTAAAGTCATTCTTGGCTGCTCTAATGGAGGAAAAATGGCTAAAGGCTAGGAGATGTGGCCTCACCTTCAAGAAAGACCAGAGGGTGAGAGGACTAAGGGCATGGCGAGAGGTGATTGGTTGTAGGAACTGGGAGTGACAACTGACACGGTGCAGGGAGAGGAAGGGCTGCGAGGAAGGGCTGCGTTGCCTCCCTCTCAAGCCTCATGCCTGCTGTGGTCCATTGGGTTAGTGTTGTCCAGAAACACTCCAGATAAAGAAGAACTTCCTTTACAATGGTGTTGTCCAAAGATAGAGCCATCTCAAGACCGTGCTGAGCTCCCAGGCCCTGGCGTAGTGTGCAGGCACAGAGGGAAGGACCCCTTGGTGTAGCCGCTGCATAGGGAGGAGGTGCCTCTGACATGACCCTTGACCCCATGGGTGGCTTTGGAGCTCTTCCAGACTACGGGTTCTCTGATTCTCCTCTACTTTCCTTCCCAGTCTCTGTCCTCTTTTCCTCTTCTGTTTTACTGGCATTTTCTCCAACCAGAGTTCTGACATCTCTGTGAAGCTTTTAATGATTTTTCCATGCTACGTCCTTTAAGAAACGAAATGGAGTCTAGACGAAGAAGCTCTAGCTCTGTCCATGGTCCCCTCCACAGACACAGCCCTGCTCCAGCCCGAAGTGTCTGTCTCGAGCTCCCCAGTGCCATCAGGCTCATATTTCAGCCTGCATCATCCCCTTATGCCGTCTTTGATTTTACGCACCTCTCTGGCTCTGTGTCAGGACTGGGAGCTCCTTGACAGCAAGAATGTCCCTGCTCTTCGGAGAGCCCCCGGCCCTGGGAGCATGCTCAGCATTCACTGGGGGAATCGGGCGGGCTGGCACAGGGGAAGGGGGACGTTACCTCCAGAAAGAAGTAGCGAGGGTGAAGATTCTGTGTCCTGGGGTGAGGACCCCTCTGGGATCACTGCAGTCGCCACCCTGCTCATTGTCATCGCGTGGTACACGGTGATACAGCTCTCTAAGATGGCATACTTTCTGTTTTTCCTTTAAAGCAAGCAACCCGGTGATAGCGGCTCAGTTCTGGTAAGTGTCCCCAGACTCTGGGGTACGGCTCTTCTCTCTAATTATTATCTTTATTCGCAATGTTGGCTTTTTCCTTAATACAATTAAACCACAGAGTGAGTCACCTGATGATTTTTCTCCCCTTTTTCTGCTGCTGCCTGGCTATACCATTCTCCTGGTATAAGTACACAATAGAATGTTCCAAGAGAGGTTTTTTTTTTTCCTTCTTTTTTTTTTTTTAAAAACACAGCCGCTTTGTTTGCATAGCTTTGTGTGTTGTTCATTACAACGGTGGGTGATAAGGGTGAGAGGAATGTGTATGGCGCGCTGAGCTGATGGCATTGCAGGCTGTGATGGGAAAGAAGGGCCGTGCTCTTGAGCAAAAGCCCCACGAGGACAAATGCCGGATCTGCTCGGTGACGTGCAGGCTTTATAGTCCTACAACATAGAAGACCTTTACTAAACAGCTTTATTGAATTTTATGCAGACAAAAGAACACGTCACAAGGCTGAACCTCCACAGGTGTGAACAGACTTTTCCTGTAAAGTGCCAAAGAGTAAATACTTTGGACTTTGTAGGCTATGCTGTGTCTTTCATGACTGCTCAGCTCTGTCGCTGGCACACAAAAGCAGCCATAGACAGTGTAAGTCAAAGAACACAGCTGTGATCCAATAAAACTTACCCCACGAATGCCAGGCCTGGCCCACGGGGTGAGGTTTGCCGACGCCCCACCCCTTCCCCAGCACAGGCGTTCTTGATCTTTGCTGTACAGTGGAATCTCCTGGTGAGCCTTGAGTTACCAGCCTCAGCCAGGCCACGCCCCAGGCCATTTGCATCAGTCTTGGGGAGAGGGACCCAGGCATCTGGTTTTTTAAAGCTCCTAGGTGATTCTAGTGTGTGGCCCAGGTGGGAACCACCACCCCACCTTGCATATACCTCTTTTTCTCTCTCTGAAACAACTGTTTGCATGCATGAGTTTTGACTTAGATGGACAGCTGTCGTGCTCTAGGGAATCACAGGCTGTAACTGTTTGGGCCCTGGTGTCCACGCTGCAGCCACTGGGATCCCTGTGTAGTTAGTCCCTGGGTCTTCCCAGGCATAGGTCTCAGGCCACTGGGGGGGGGGATCTGAGAGGTGAGCACAGCTTGACTGTGTGTGTATTCCAGACGGTTGGCAGGGCCCAGCATGCGGGGGAGTGGGGAGCCGATGCCCTGGTTGGTGATGAGATGCAGGCCAAGGGACCAGGAGGCTGCCTGCCTTGCCCCAGCCTTGTTTTCATGCAGCTCTGGGGCCTTCCGCCTTCCTTCTGGGCCTCCTTTTTCTCACTGAAAGCAAGGAGGTTGGGCTAGATCAGTGTTTGTCTAAACTGTTTTAGCCTCTGATCTTCGCCCCCTAGAAAGAAACCTGAGCGGGAAGCCCAGTGTCTAGCACAGACAGAAGTAGAGCTGCTCTGAGTGGAGCCAAGCGGGGAGGAAGAGGCTGGTGCCTGCCTGTTCGTCTGTCCCCTCTCCCCCCGAGCAGTCGCAAGACACCTGCCAGGGCCCGGGGTGCTAGAGAATGCAACCAGCCCCTGTGTCACCCAGCTGGAAACTCGGCCTTATGCCTCCGATTCCAAGTTTCACCTGCAGTGCCGTTCTGTTGGAGGGGCAAGCAGCTGACTCTTGAGTCTGGGTTCACTTCTCAGCACCCAAAGAAGGGGCCCCGGAGTCCTGTGGAGCTGCCGTGCATCACACCCCCGCCCCTTCCTGAGGCAGGGGGGTGGTCTCAGAGTTCCTTCCCACAGGCACGCCTGTCTCTAGGATCCCCATGGCAGGTAGCTTGCCAAAAGTAAGTCACACGTCTTTCCACCTGTCAGCGTGTCTTGCTTTTATTTCTCAAGGGCTTGTGAATTAGATCATTTCTTCCCTTTGCTTTCTAAGGAAGTGATTGTTTTGTTTGTTTACCCCTAATAAAATTATATTTTCCTTTTAGCATCTAGTGGAGATTATATATTATTAGGAACCAAAACGCACACACAAAAAATGTCCACTGGAAAAAAAAAAACCCGTAAATATACCCTTTAGGAACAAATGAGCTAATAACCAGTGTTTGCAGCTGTTCAATTGCTCTTCACAGCCTGTGGGATCCCGGGGTGAGTAGGATTGCTATGGGAGCCAGGGATGAAATTGTGCTCCAGGCTGCAGAGGTGATACCAGAAAAATAGCACCTTGCTGAACACTTACCCTTCCTGATGAAATCCAGCTGGAGGTGACTCTGGCCCAGAGCCGGGTGCTCTGCACTGGCCCTCTCTGAAGACTGGAACACGGAGCCATTTAGACCCCAAGCTAGACTCATAACAGTGAAATGTTTCTCTCATTGTTGGAGAAGCAATAAACCTTGATTTCAAGCACACCGCCCTGGCAGCGTAGCCCAGCGATTGTGCTGTGTTTGTGGTTTTCCCTGGCAGATGCCAGCCTTGCGTGTGAAACACATTGTGTTTTACCCGTAAAGGCAGCCTTCTCTGCCCATGTTTGTTTGGGTGGGGTTGGTTTTTCTTTTCTTTTCTTTCTTTTTTTTTTTTTTTTTTTTGACCAGAGTAGTTACACTTAAGAGTCCAAGATAGGGTCACGCACGAGGAGCCCAGAACCTTTTCTCAGACCCTCAAGAAGCCAGTTTGGCTTTGTGGAACGTAGAGGGGCTTTGGGCTTGAGCAGATGTCCCTTCCAGTCCTGGCTGTGCCACGGACTAGCTGGCCGGTCCCAAGCAGGCTTCCTTCCTTCTCTCTTAGGCAACCTTTCCTTTATCTGCACAATGAGGTGGTACCAGTTATTGACCTCATAGCCTCGTTGTGTGGGTTAAATAGTAACAGATGTGAAGCTCCCAGTACACAGCCTTATATGGCATGAGCGTCCCAAAGTGGTGGCCCGATCACAGCACTTGTTGGTAGCAGCAGGAACCACAGTGGTAGACGCTCAGGAGCGGCTGGTAGGTCTTCCTGCGGTTAGAGAAGGCGCTGGGTGGTGCTGGGGCTGCCTGGGGCCCGGGGTGCCTCCCAGCAGTGCCAGCACGGACCTGGAATGGGAAATAAAATCCCTTGGCCTGTCCAACCGGAAGGATCTCCTTTCTGTCGCCGAAACATGACATCACGAGCAGGATTCTGGAATAATGCCTTCGTCTTTCTATTTGTGAGCTCGAAAGTGATGAGCGGAAGTTGCTATTTGGATTCCCGGGTCATATGTTCATTTAAACAGCTAATAACCAAAAAGAAACGGTGTTTGTGGAAGTTCCTAACAGCGTCGGTAGGATTTGTTTCTGATCGTCAAATAAATCGACTAATGATGCCACTTTACCACCTATTACATGACAATTTTTCCCTTCTTTCCTTTAGCTCTAAAACAAATCCCGAAGTCCATAATTACCAGGTGAGATACTGCTTTTAACGATTTTCGTCAATACTTCTTAAAGTTTCAAAATTCTCTACTTCATGCCATCATTATGCTTATGGTCAGATTTTGAAGAAACAATAACAAAACATTTTGTGTTGGTTGGCGGGGCGTTGGGGGTGGGAGAGTTGTTTTTGTATTTTGAGAAACACAGTAAGAGGAGAGAGCCTTCTTCCGTGACCCCTGGTCGGTCCCTCTTGGTCATTTCAGCTGGGCCTATTTTTTCTTAACATTGTCAGCTGGCAAACAGCTGGGACATGTGTTTAAGTTTCTGGGTGGTCAAATACAACCTCTTAGGGGCACTCAAGTGAGACCGTGTTTTGTCAGTGTGTTCTCGGCCTAGGGAACATGAGTCCCTTGAGATGTGCCTCCAGGAAAGGACGTCTGAGTCACATGTTTGGGAGATGGCGTGTCCTTCATTCCCCTTCTTGGATCTCACAGTGCCCGTTCGGGTATCAAAAGTACTGAGAAATCCTACAAAAAAGACATTTTTTTTTTTTTAGGCCATTGTTTCCCCAAATCATTGGACTGTGGAACAACCCTTCCCTTAATTAAAAAAAAAAAAAAAAAAAAAAAAGACCTACAGAACAACTAGCCTCTCACCTCCCTGCCTACTTTTTTTTTTTTTTTTTTGATAGTGTATCTGTTAACATCAGTGGAGCATTGATTTCCAGAACCTCCTTTGTAAAGCATTGTGCTGGGCCTCTTGAGCCCACAGAAGGAGCACAGATAGGTTTCCCTGGCTGGTGTTCTGCTGTTCCACGGGCCCTCACCCCCTGCCTGCCCACCCACCAATATCTGGGGGTGGCCCTTGCTGGCCATTCATGGCCTTCTACAACCTGGCTCCGACTTGCTTTTCTCCATTTATTGCCCCCCTCCTCCTAGCTCCTCCTCACACATCGTATGTTCAGCTCTCCGAGAATCCCTTAATCATTGCCCCATAATTTCTTCCCGCTGTTCCTTTGTCCGTGTTTCTCTGCCTGAAATTCCCTTACCTGTCCAGGCATTAAAATATCCCCCAGAGTCCCCTCAGAAGCCACCTCCTCCACAGAGATTTCTCCGATCCTCTTGATTGGAAAGTACTGACACCCCCCTGCAGCTGCACATTCAGACCATCTGGCAAGCTTTGAAAACCTAAGCAGTGCTTGGGCCTCACCCTGGACTGATTGAATCTGAAGCTGTGAAGATGGGTCTGGGGAATCAGACAGCTTCTGAGCACCTACGGTGGTTCTGATGAGCAGCCAGGCAGGGGGCCCTGCACTGACAATGTGTCCCTCGCTAGGTTTGTGGGTAGAGGCAGCATCCGTGTCTGATGACCTCCTCACTTGGGGACGTTTTTCTTGTGCTGGACGGGTTCTGTCCAAGGCCACTGCTCTCAGGTTTCTCCCGTCACCAGTCTGGTTTTGAATGTCACAAGTAAGAAGGAATTCACCTGGGAGCATTATTCTGGTTAGTGTCTTTCTTGGTCATTTGTTACTCTCGATAGCAACTCCTTAGAGGGGTGGGATCCCAATGTGTGCCATCTTTTCGAGGTCTCCAAAGTATGTTTTAGAAGACTTGTGCAGTATCATCTTCTGTCTCTGAAATCCTGTTCCCAACCTGCAGAACTTCTGAGTTTGAAGGAATAACACATAAAAAGTGCTTTGAGGGGGTCCCTGGGTGGCTCAGAGGTTTGGCACCTGCCTTTGGCCCAGGGCGCGATCCTGGAGTCCCACGTCGGGCTCCCGGCATGGAGCCTGCTTCTCCCTCTGCCTGTGTCTCTGCCTCTCTCTCTCTCCCTATGTCTATCATAAATAAATAAATCTTTTTAAAAAAAAAAAAGTGCTTTGAACCCGGTAGGGGAACAGCCAGGTTTCTCGATCTCATTGGCTTCTTGAGGTTCTTGAGTCTTCTTGGTCACAGGTTGGCTTTTTGGCTTGGTCACAGCAGCTGGCTGTGGGGGGAAGGGAAGAGCTGTGGGTGGACGATCCCTGCTTGAAGGCACAGAAAAAGAAATGAAAATAAAGCAGAGCCTTCCCTGCTCAGAGTGAACGTTGGAGGCAGTCGTGCATTGAACTCCACGCTCAAAAACTGTTACCTAGACGTCCTTCTTCTCATAACATCTTTGGCACCCACTGGTCCCCTACACCTTGCCAGTTTTGGAGGTTCTGTGTTGCTCCGTCAAGGTTTGGGAGTGACTTGACCAGGAAGAGAACATCCTGAGAAATGGCCTGATTGGGAAGCATCTGAGTGCTGAGAAGGAGGGTGGGCGGCCGTGTCCGTGTGGCCGCAGGCTCAGTGAGGTTGGCCAGCTGCGCAGAAGGATGGATCGCTGTGGTTTTTGATAAGGGCCCTGTTGATGTTTGGGGAGGGACAGTTCATTATGTGACTGTCCTGAGAGTTACAGGATGTTTAGCTTCCCTCTTTCTGCCCAGTAGATAAAAGGTAATCGTGTAGAATATCGTGACAAGCAAAAGCGCACATAGATATTTCCAATTGTCCCCAGGCGGACACAACTGCCCTGGTGAGAGCCATCTGGGCTAACACTAAAAAAATTGCTCCTTGACAGCTTTAGAGTGTGAATAAATTACCAAAGGAGACAAAGGAAGGTTTGGGAATATCCTTCTAGGTCTTTCACTAATGAATCGGGTTTGATTGTGCTTGAAGACAAGGAGTAGAATAGAAGGTCCATTTCTATTCTAGATTATTCCCTTTTGTTGAAGATCCAACTGGTAGAGCCTCATTTGAGGCCCAGCTACGTAACCAAAACACTTGAAGCATTTCAGCTTTGGGCAAATCATCTAAAACTGGGTGCCTGCCCGTCTCCCTGAGAGAGGTCAGCTCTCAGGTTCTGCTCCCGAGATCTTTTCTCCAGATCCTTTTCCCTCTAGCATGTCCTTCTGGGGGCTGCACACTTAGCTTGCTGACAGGCATCTTTGAAGGAGAGAGGCCACTAGAATACAGAATAAGCAGGGAGGGGGAGGGCACCTTAGGTTCCTGAAAACCGAATGAACAGAATTACCGAGAATTTTCCGCAGTACAGAACAGGTTTCTGCTTATTAACCAAAACAGCAGGGGAAGAAGCATTTGACAGAGTAACGGTGGCAGGACTATGGTGACTTAAAAGTCAGGAGGGTCTGATGTGCCCCACAGAAAGTTCAGCTTTGAGAAGCCTCCTCCCCACCCCCACCCCCCCACCCCCAGCTTCTGGGGCCGCCGCCTTCTGCAGGCCAGGGGTGGATAGGCACCCCTGCTACCCGCCAGGCCCGCCTTGTCTTCACCTCTGGTCCTTCTGTGAGTCACCAGTCTGGGTCTATTTTCCCATCTGTAAATGGACAAATTCCTTCCTTCCGTTTGATTCAGGATAATAAATGCTCTGGGTGGTTTGGGGTTTTGTTTGTTTTTGGTGGCAACAGGTGGGGAGTGAGGTTTGGTACTGGGTTTTGGATCACATTTTAGAAAATTGTTCTCACTGCTTAAACGAGAGAGAAAGGGATCGCCCACAGTCCTGTTGCCTTGGTTTTCCTGTCCAGTTCTCTTGGGTTTGCAGATGTCCCTGTTACGCACGGTTGTGGTCATTTTCAGCGATGACAGAAATCATTTCTGAACAAAGAAATTGCTTGCCATTCTCCCCACAACTTGGGTGTCTTCCGTCTGTTCCCTTGGGGGAGAGGAGTATTGCCTGTCCTGGGTGCTCTAGGGGACCCTTTCCGGGAAGATGCCTTCCCCTGCCCTCCAGCCTTTGTCACGGGGGAAACGTGATCGTCTGGGAAGCCACCTCCCAGCCAGGGTTTAGTGAGAGGCTTTCCATTCACATCTCTGGGCCCCTCAGCTGGATGCCAGTGAAAGAGAAAGTAAATGAAGACCATTGAAATCAAAAGGTCATGGAATAATCCAGTTTGGTCTTTCGTTTCTAGCCTCAGTACCATCCCAATATCCACCCCAGCCAGCCCCGGTGGCACCCTCACTCTCCAAATGTAAGGTAAGTGCTTGAGCTCACAGAGCTGTACTTTCTCGAAAGTTCTCCCTTCATCTGGAAAAACTCGAATTGGAGCTAGCTACAAATCGAAAGTCTGCATCAGAAGCAGCTGTTAAGAGTTGCCCTGTCATGGCAAGAGATTAATGATTTGCCAGGCAAAGGAAGCCAGTGATGAGTCTGGATTTGCCAGAGTTCTGCTTTTTGAAATAAAAATGAATTGGGTTTTGTTTTGTTTTTGTTTTTTGTTTTTGTTTTTGTTTTTTTAAGTCATTCTAACCTCAGATATTTTTGGTTTGATTTTGTGTTAGAAATGTTACTTAAAATTTCTAAGTAACATTTTCCTGTCCCAAGAATCCAGTTACTAAAAATGTGCCTCAAGCTCGGGGATTTTTGTTACGGGTTTTTTTGAAAGGACTTTTTTCAGGGGTGGGGTGGGGGGTTTGCTTTTTTGTGACGAGTGGATCTTTTTTCTAAACCCAGGGGTCAGTAACCTTTCTCTGTCATGGGCCAGATCACTGGTATTTTCAGCTTTGTGGTCTGTCACAACTACCCAGCTCTGCTGTTGTAGCTTGGAAGCAGCCAGAGACAACCCAGAAGCGAACGGGCCTGGCTGCGTCCCAATAAAACTTACGAAAACCAGGGTGGGGGGGTGAGTGGGATCCAGTCTGGGGCTGTGTTTCCTCACCTCTGCCCTAACCCACCACGATCCTTTCCAAGGAAACTGGCACCTGCCTTGCTGGGGTTTTCATTAGGCTTGAGGGTGTTTTAATGCCAGCTTTGTAAAGGCAAACGTTCCTTTTCAGATTTGAATTTTAGATCAGTCTTAATTGGTGTTTATGTGTGAAGCTCTTTCTGTTGGTGAATTCACTTTGCATAAAGTTATTTCTTGGTGAGGTTGCTAGCCTTGCTGCTTGAGAAAGTACCGAACAGAATGATGAAAATAAATCCATGTGGAGCAAAAGGCAGATGAGAGCCATTCATTCTTGATAGTTCTTGCCACTTTTGTTGGGGGACCTTGGAGGGCGACAGTGCAATTTTATCAATAACACTTGATATTCGGGTCACTTTTTAAAGCTCGTCAGCCCAGCGGAGTCATAACTCTAAATGTTTCCGTGTTGCAAAGACGGTTTATTTTTTGGACATAAGAAAACAGAAGAGATGTCTAGAAATGCTATTTTTATTAACCTTATTTTTACAAAATTTTATGCTTTTTAGTGCCTAGCTTATCGCATTAGTTTCCCTCTGAGGCAGGCCCTCGCCCAGCAGCTTGCAAAGGGAATTCTGTGGGAGGCCACAACCCGGCTCCTCTCCTGGCGGTGTTCGCCTCACTGGGGAGCTTGCTGATACAGACCCCCTGCCCCACCCACCCCAACCCTGCTGGATCAGTGTCTGGGAATAGGACCCCACATTCTGTGCTTTATCAGGCTCTCCAGAGGTAGAGAAGCACTGCCTGAGAACCTACCCCAGGAAAAGAGAGCTCCGTGGTCCAACACTCTTGGCAAACGCTGCCTGAGACCTTGACAGTGCCCATTAGCTTGGTCGCGGCCCTGAGAGGCACCTGCTAAAGGACCCTATTCACCCGACTTTCCCCAGATTCACTTGATCACCAGGGTGCCCTTTGAGAAATGACAGTTGTATGGCTGCGGAGCCAGCTTCTCTCGAGTTGGACGTTGAGAGCTAACCTGCATCTGGATTTTAAAAATACCTTTAGAAAATCCATTTGTTTTTGTTTGTAAGCCATCCTCATTCACGTGGCTCATGGTTTCTCCTGCCCATCTTCCCCCCCCTCCACCCCCCATGCTTGTGTTGTCACTCACATTTCTGAATTTTCTCCCATCCCTCCCGCTAACCATCCACTCTGCCAACAAAACAGGCCATGCTTTCAGGATGACAGGCCGCACTGGGAAACGTCAGCCAGTGGAGGTGACAGCCATTTCGATTATGTCCACGACCAGAACCAGAAGAACTTAGGAGGAATGCAAAGTATGGTGTATCGAGATAAACTCATGACCGCACTTTGAGAGACTGAAGCACCTTACCTCCATTCACCATCGTAGTATCATTACATCCCATGAGAAGTGTCTTGGCATCACAGAGATGTGTTTGCAAAGTGTCTTTAAGGAATAGTTCTGGAAGATGTTCCTGGCATCCGTGTAATATTAGCAAACAACCGCAATCACTAGTCATGATTTCCTGTTGACCGCAGTCTCAATAAAATGAAGGTAGTTAAAGGCTCAGGAATCATTTTAACATTCTGATTTTGAAAATTGGAGTAAAAGTCTGTGTTTATCGTATGGCTGTACGTGATATTTCTTTGTTATTTAATGAACGGGACCAACTAAAACCAGAAAAACGTAGGAAGATAGGTCTGCGTTGAGGACAAGACAATCCTGGGGTGAGGAAGAGGCTTCTGGGGCCCAGCCCCTGCCACTGTGAGATGGTGGACAAGCCTTTCTCCTCTGTTGGCCTCCTTTTCCCCCATCCGAAAAGACTGGGTTGGACTAAGTGATCGCCAAACTCCTTCCAGCTCTACAAATCTGTGATCTGTGAAAAGTTAATATTTTAAGTCTGAGGATCTAACATTCAAACAAAATCTCTCCTAGGAAAACTGCAAAATTCCCTCCTCTCACAGAGAGTTGCCCCTTTCAGAAACTGAATAAAGTATGTAACTGCTTAGGTGTGACATACATACAGGGAGGCTTTGAATTTCCTGTCTTAAAGCAGTTTAGCCACTTTGAATCTTAGCAGTTTTACTAATCACAAATGCATAGCATCCATTTTAATAGAATTTGCTGCTCAAGTACAAGAATAATTTTTTTAAATTATTGATTGGTGCTGCTAACTTGCACGATTTCAGAAGACATAATTATGAATACACACTGTCAGGATTTATAGAATTTGAGGCTTGGTTTTCACCCTGGACTTCATTCTTTTAAAAAGCAACATGCAATCCAAGATCCATTTGTGGCTCACATTAAAGTGTCTAGGATTTTAATGAAGTTGTGCCAAAGCATCCTATAGAATAGGATGGGATGGGTGTTGCGCAGTCATTTTGTAGTTCCAGCTATCAATGTGTTGTCTCTTAGGGTAGAACTTGTACTGAAATATTTATTTCCCCTCACCTCAAGCCACAAATCAAACATTTTTTTTTCCTCTTGATAGACTTGAGTATCTTTCATTAGTCTTTTTTGCGAAAACAATTCGTAAACGCCATTTTAACGCGTGTAATTGTAAGTAGGCCCATTTTAAGCCTTTTTTAAAAAAAAATGTGTTGACATCTCTTGAGATATTTTATTGCTAAAATCTGGTCTATTTTTGGTTGCCACAAGAATCTGTCCAGAAGGAGGGACTAAGCTACACGCCCCGCACAGTGGAGTCAATCACCTACCAAACCCTCCCTGAGATATCTGTTTACAGGTGTATTCCCTTTTAGCAGCTGTTTTGATCCTCAGTGTCTGTGCTGCCTACAAATAAATGTGTTCAGAATCTTTTAATCTTATTGATACATTTTTACAAATGTGTTTCCAAGGAATAAAGATTATTCTGGCTTTTTTTGGACTCCATCTTCATTTTACATTGCGCAGAAGTATCATTGGTGGACGACATAGATAACGGGACAGGGAGCTTTTGGAAGTCTGAGGGTGAGCATTCAGTTAGGTGACCTAGAGCAAGTTCATCTGAGAATAAGGCTACTCTTGGGAAGAGTGGCTCAATAACTTGAGTGGATTCAGTTGTCTGCAACCAAGAAGTCTAACCAGGATGCATATTTATGACCTCCTGATCGTTAAATGACGTGTACACTTTTCATCCCTCAACTTCATGGACCTCTGTCTGCTGCATCTGATGGTGGTGGTCGCTCACTCACAGCTTCTTGAAATTTGTTGCCTTGGTTTCTGTGATATCTGGTTCTCTAGCTCTTTGACTTTTTCTGGTCTTTGTAATAGCTTTTCCTTCTGTCTTCCTCTTAAATGTTGGTGTTTTCCAGGGGTCCTTCCTCTGTCTACTGCCTTTCTCACCATCATAGTCGATGCTGGGTCTTCTCATGCTGGCATCATTTTAGGGCTGTTGACTGTGAAGTCATTATCACTAACCTAGACTATTCCTATCAGGTTTTATATACTTTTTTTAAAATTTTTTTTTATTTTATTTATGATAGTCACAGAGAGAGAGAGAGAGAGAGAGGCGCAGAGACACAGGCAGAGGGAGAAGCAGGCTCCATGCACCGGGAGCCCGACGTGGGATTCGATCCTGGGTCTCCAGGATCACGCCCTGGGCCAAAGGCAGGCGCCAAACCGCTGCGCCACCCAGGGATCCCTCCTATCAGGTTTTAGACTGACATTTCAACCTTTATATCCCATGTCATATTCTAGCTCATGTCAGAAATCAAATTCTTTATCTTTTACTGGAGAAAAAAGAAGGGACGTCCTCCTGATTCTCTCTCCTCCCCTGCAAGAAGGATGTATACACACACCGTCCATAGCTCTTCTGAAGCCTGTTGCCACCCATATCCAGGCAGTCCCCAGGCAGGCCTGCTCAGCTCCCAGCCTTGTCAACCCCAACCTTACAGCAACATCCTCCCTCTGCCTCAGAGGTGCTCTTTCAGTTCTCCTTGACTCCAGGCTCCTGGCGAGCTCATTGTCCTCCCAGTCATTCTGATGCTCGACATTTACCAGGGTTCTCCAGCACCCACAGGGTGAGGTCCAAGGCCTTCTCTATGGAATTCCTTTGCTGTCTGCTTCCGTTCTATTGCTGTAGCCTATTTCGCCCCATTTCTTACCCTCCCGTTTAAATTCTACACCACCAAGCTGCTTGTCGTTCCTGGCATGCACCATATCCTGCTGTTGCTCCCATCTGTGCTTTGCAAATACTATTCCTTCTGCCGAGAACATTCTCACTCCTATCCTCTTCTGCCCAACTCCTGCTCACCCCTTATGCCTCCGCTCAGATGTGTTCTTTTCTCCAGGACTCCGACCACCCCCACCTCTGCAAACTAGGTTAGTTTC